GGGGCCTGTCCTCCCCAAACTGGGCCACTGGTGGGGCCTTTCATCTCCCGCCTTCCTCTCTGGGCCACTCCAGTGTCCGCCTGCCTCTGTCTCTTCCCACCCCACTACCCCCAGTAGGACAATCACGGCACTAATTAGGGCGCTTTGATCATCTTTAGAAATGGCTACATTGGGGAGGGATGCTGCCAAGCAATTAGGGGCAGAGGAGCTGGGAGCTCAGGCACCTCCACAGGGGCTGGGGCTGCCCAGGACCCTCAGACAACCCCTGCCCACCTTCCCTCAGGATTATCTGCCCCCGGCATTGCTGTGAACTCCTCAGGGAATCAAGGCAGATGGGAAACCCTCAATCTGAGCCTTGGAGACAGCACCAGCCCCTGCCCATCAGCCCCCCTCTGCCTGGCCCCCAGCCTAACCGTCAGCTCTTCTGGGCTGTCCAGGCCCCTTTGATGGAGCCTAGAAACAAGGGCTCCTTTGAGGGAAGGGGGCCTCAGAGCCTCAGAGCAGGATGACGCAACTTCAAAGGTGAGGGTTGAGTCCACTACCCTGTGCCCTCCCTCAACCCTAGCCCCCTCCTAGGCACCTCCCCCATCTGTCCTCTATATAGCCCCCTAAGCCCCATTCCCCTGTGGGCTCCGGGAGTTAAGGACCAGGTGAGGGATGACCAGGGAAATGGTAACTTTGATGTAAAAGAATAGGGTCAGATGACTTGAATTCAGTGCTCAGGGACCGAAAGGCAGGCACCACAGGATAAGCGCCTGGAGGGTGGACCCCGGGGGGGGGGGAGGGGGGGATAGAACAGGGTCAGTGCCCCGGCTCCTGGTCACCATGCTGCTGGCTCTGCTGCTGCTGCTGCTGCCCCTCCCAGACCCATGGTCTGCCCATGGGCACCCGCTGTACATGCACCTGCCCCCCAGCACCCTGCAAGGTGAGCCCGGGGTGGTCTGAGGGAGTGGCCAAGGAGGGAGGAGCAGAGAGGAAGTGGGTCCCGGGCAGAGGAACATGAGCCTGCTACCTGAATTCACAAGGACCTTTGGCTTCTTCTGCCCACTGTGCAGGGAGAAGGGGCGAGGAACCCAGGTAGGAGAGGGAGGGGGAAGATGAGGATGGAAAGGGAAGGGGAGCCAACGAGGGTGTGCATCAGGGAAGTTTAGCAGGGAGGAAAGAGCCTAGAGCATCCCCTTGGCTCTCTGGGCCTAAAGGTGGGCAATTCAACCACAGTCATTTTGTGTCAATACATCTGAGTTCTGTGATATCTGAATCTTCAGGGTACTGTTTTTCCTTCAAGGTTTTTAAGGAAATGCCCTTTTCAAAGATTCCAGCCCAGCCCTAGCCAGTTTGGCTCAGTGGATGGAGCGTTGGCCTGTGGACCAAAGGGTCCGAGGTCAAGGGCAGGTACCTTGGCTGCAGGCTCTTCCCTTGCCCGGGCCCTAGTCGGGGCTCATGCAGAAGGTAACCAATCGATGTGTTTCTCTCACATCGATATTTCTGTCTTTCCCTCTCTCTTCCACTCTCTCCAAAAATCAATGGAAAAATATGCTCAGGTGAGTATTAAAAAAAAAAAAAAGATTCCAGCCCAGTTGAATTACAGAGATATATTGGGCTGAGAATCCAGAACCATTGGCTCTGAGTGCTGGGCCCTGGGGCCTTGGGGCTCTGTCTCCTCCCATCCCACCCCACCCCAGCGCTCCGGGAGCCCAGCCTGCTCCCTGTGGGTCTCCGAAGGCAGGGCTTGGAGCTGGGGCAAGGAGGACAAGCCCGCAGCTCCTCCCCAACCAGGCATGACTGTGCCCCATGTCCCAGCAGCTTTGTCGGCCCAGGGGACAAAGGCATTGCAGGCCGCCCGGAGGAGCGCCCAGTGGGCCGTAAATCTAGTGGCGATGGAGATCCAGCATAGATTGCATGAGTGCCAAAGTTGTGCCAACCGCACCACCCCCTGCACAGGTGAGCTTGCACCAACTACCTGGGACCGTTCTCTGTCCACCCCACCCCCTCCCTTGACTTGACGCCTCTCGAAGGGAGACTGAGTGGGCTGCAACAGGACAGGCGTATGAAGG